GGGGGGGGGAAGGGGGGTGGGGGTAGGGAGGAGAGGATGTGATGGAGAATCTACCTTCTATCTCTCTGTGGACCTTTTAAAAACATTTTCTCTCTCTCTTGATCCTGCAGTTGTATTACCTCAGCTCAGCCTCTTTGTTATGTAATCTCTCTTGGTGGTGTTACTGTACGTCAGGTGCAAGTGACACAGTCATGGTGTGATAAACCCGAGGCTTAATTCTCCTCCATATACACCATATGCTGTGCTCTCCTAAGCGGGCATTCATGTTCGACACTGCGATAATTTTTGTATCTTTGTCCAGTATATTCTACATGTGCATGTGTGCATAAATAGAGATGTACATATGTGTTTTCCTCCGGAGGGAAACACTGCTCCACTTTTGCTCAACCCACCCATATGTCTCGCTGCTACTCTGTGCAGCCCAGCTCGCGCTCCATCACGATGAACCTGATCATTCCTGCACACACAGAGCTGGAAAGTTGAGTAACTTAATGTCTGGTGACATAACGTATTAGTTGGCCCTTTCACATTGTTGTAGTGTGTCAGGTTCCTTGATGAACAACATACTGATGATGCTTTTTGCTCATAGAGTTGTATCAGCTGAGGGCCGGAAATGTAAAAAAGCATTACGCTTTCAGCACGATGCCGTGTGTCGGGACGGCGTTATCGGGGATATTGGTCGTATAAGCGCAGAGTGGCGGTGATTAGCTAGCCAGTGGGTCACAACAGAGACTCGCATGCGTGACAAAGTACAGAAAGCTCAGATTACAAACAGATGATTAAATCAAGTAAAAAAAAACAACACAGATTCCCCAAAGCATATAAGTAGCCTCTGTAAGTTTTAGGAAAGAAATATCAACTTTTCCAGCTTTCTCCGACTTCAACATTGGCCTTCACGTGTGGTGTTTGGAGAGCAGTGACAACTCCCTGCGTGCGACTTGTGCAAGTATGAACACATTGGTAATTGCAGACAGTGTGCAGGCAGCTGCAGAGCAGACGATATTGAGACCTTTAAGACAACACCTGGGAAGGTTGATAATATCGTTGGGAATCATATTACTGGGACATTAAATATTCGTGCCCAATTTCATGAAAGGATAGTCGTCGTTGAGACATTTACACGTAGTCCAAACAATGGCCATCCTCAGATCCTGCTGCTAGTTGAGCAGAAATGTCCCGCAATGTAATTAAATTATTTATTCAAATCATCTAGGCCTCTCTTCTAAGTCTCGGCTTGCTTATACAACCTAGTGTGAACATTAGTTAATTGTGCTACTGATATCTTTGCAGAAAGTGCAGATTTGTGCGACGCTGCTGTGGCGCCTCTGCAGAGGCACTGATCCCAGGTATCTACTTGTCTGTCCAATAAGCCTAATGACATTGAGGGCCACATTCATAATGACATTGGTAGGCAGTGCCAGGCGGATTAGGACTCCAGATGGTGCTGTTACTGCCTGACTGTCTGGCCGCAGATGTGCAGCTGCAAGAGGTCACATGTTTTACTACAGCGGGCAGCGCTGCCACTGCAGCCCAGCAGCTCGGCATCACACAGAGTCTTCAGCAACACTAAAGCTGACTGTCACAAGTGTCCGTTCACAAGAGTGTTTCTGGAGTTTGAAAGTGTGTGTGTGTGTGTGTGTGTGTGTGTATGTGGGGCGTGTTTCTCGCCACTTTTTGATAGCGTCATGAAGCTGAGTTTACCATGCAACAGATGTCGCACTATCAAATTAAAGCTTAATGCCCGGCCAGCTCAAGAAAAACACTTCAGAGCTGACCATGACATCGCAGAGCTTAAACACTCGATTGTGTGTGTGTGTGTGTGTGTGTGTGTGTGTGTCCGCTCATGCATGTCTGTGTGTTTTCTGCTTGTGCCCATGTCATGTGTGTGATCCGTCTGAGAGACGCTTCACTCCACATGAGGCATGACACTTGCTGGTCGAGGAGCTCTTGAGGATGACAGCGTCTCATTTCCGCTCCTCTAAAAATCACCCAGGAAGTGACACCGGTTATATTTATAAGAGCAACTGTAGCGCAGCAGTCACTGTTATCCCCTTTTTGACTGAGGCAGAGAGGTTGGTTTTTTTATGCCAGGCGTCAGCTGCTTGCACCCCTGGGTCATGGTACTCTGAACAAAAAAACAGGGGATTTGCATAATTCATTACAGTCGCTGTGGAACGGAGAGGCGACACAGGTGTGCCAGGCATTGTGGGAGAACGAGCATGTCTAAGAAGCCAAAGGTAAAAAAAACAACTAGAAAAAACACACAACCTGTTCTTGTTTCTGTGTTAAATCAGCAGCTTACTCCTCTATCCAGAGCTTGTACTATTACTCGTAGTGCTTGCTTGTTTTCTGAAAGCTTTTGCATTGCACGTACAGCTTAAAGAGTGCTTTTTCTCTGTTTGCGAATTATTTTCGGCGTGCAGGTTTTGTTTGTGACGGCATCCACAGTGTTGCCGTCTATATCCTGTCTGTCTACGCAGGCCTATACACTGTAGGAAGTAAACCTTGCATAAGTAGAGCTTAGTTTTTAATCATGGATTCACGGGGGACTGTGTCTGCTTGTTAGTCCTGTAGAAAGGCATTGGTGCTTGTAGGTGAAAGACAATCTGCTGGGTCATCTTTCTCTTCCTGTGTGTAGATACCTCCAACAGGTCTGGTGAAAGAGTCTGTTCGTGTAGCTAAATCCTATCTTTGAAATCTGATTTAGATGGTTTGGAGCAGCATGATTTAATCTTTGTCATTTTACACAATGTAGGGCAGTACTTCCCAATCTCTAAACTCGTGATCCCTTGAAATTAAAGTTTGTTGTTTTTACTTGTTTCTATTTCAAGAATTATTAGAAGCGTCACTAAAACTCATTAGTATGTCTGTCAGTTTTGTAATATTTTAAATTGTGTAGTGTTTACATCATTGTTTACTAGCTAGCAGTCTTCTTCAGTACTGGGTTTGTTGCTGCATTACTATGTTTATTTGTGTGTTACTGCCAGCAACTGTCAACCAAGAAATAATGAAGAATGTGCAGCAGGAATATGTATTTTGTGCATGTGTCCTCATGTGGGTGCATGATATTCACTAAATAAGAACCCACTTGTACAAACATTGCTCCATATGCTTATCAAAAACTCCACAAGGGACCTTTTTAAGAGGTTATTGATAATCATGACATTACTAGAGAAAAGGCAGAGATTGCAAAAATAAACCCCCAAGTTTGCAACCACTGCTCGCTTTCATATAACCTTAGTAATATGAAATCTTTGCAGGTTTAAAGAATAGATTTTAACCGTTTCTGACCATGTTTCATGTCAGTCATTCTTCTCCTCTAAATCCTGGATTGGTTGAAAGGCAGACGCAGATTTAAATCTCCTTACTGAAAGAAGCAATCATCACAAAGTGAGTCAAGGGATCAACTGGACACAAGTAATCACCCCCGTGGGTGTTATTGTGTGCAGCAATGGATCGTTCCCTCCCTCCTGTAGTGATGTACAGTACACGGAGGATCATGTGACGACACAGAAGATGATCGTCTCTCACTGCTGCTCAAACTGCATGACTGTGTTCAAGTTAGGAGCCCATCAGGGATGTCAGAGTAGCACACAAAAGTGGCTTTGTTAGTCCGAAAGTGTACAGAAAAGTATACTGTATGTTATCTGTTATGTGACAGAAAATGTAATGCATCATGTGTTCAGAAGCATGGGTCCAATAACATTTAACTCTTAAACTGTTTATTGTTTTTTGTATATTTAATGAGACTCTGGTGCATAGTTCTCAGCTCCATCCTTCCCATTTTTCAATTTCTTATTTATAAAAACGTGTCTGAGCTGTCAACATAACCACAAACCATATCATCAGATATCAGTCCGTACATTTAACTATAAATGACCACTCATGTGTACAATGATGTGGGTCCCTCTTGATCTCTTCCGTTGTGTTTCACAGGGCAGGCGGTGTTACTAAGTGTGAAAGTGTGTTTGCGCCCAATGCGCTAGTGCCCTCTGTCAGTGTTTGCCTGACCTGTGCATGACTATATTGGTCACAACGGTCCCAATTTGCCGGCTGAAGAGTTTTTCCTATGACTCCATGTGGTCCGGCCGATGTGTTGATGTGTTCAGCGAGCGTAAAGTGACTCAGCGCCACACACTCGCACTGCAGCCGCCAAACGCTGTACACTGTTGTGCAAGTCGGCGCTTCAGAAGTCATCAAGTCTTTGCTCCCGTTCGCTGTCCAGCAACTCTGAGCTCATGATCTTCATTCCTTTGGGCATGCTTGACAAGTTGTCTTGGTCTCCACTGACTAAACACATCTTGGGAAGGGTAAGCTTTACTCAACTTTCGACTCCAATCTTTGTTGTAATGTGCTGTTCTAATACCACATTATTAGGCCGTGGCTTTAGATGCCACTGCTTCAGTTGTACAGAAAAGTACAGCGGTGTTGTATGATGTGTGCACGGGTTCGGTGCTGAAACAGCAGTCGAACTCTCGAGTCGCTCAGAGAGGAAACGGAACAGCTGGGGCTTCTATCTCTCTTTCACATCCTCTATCTCCACCTCTCTCCCTCATTTTCCCTCCTTTTTCCTTTCTCTCACTGTCTGTAATTAGAGATGGTCCCATGGCTCGAGTGGCCTGGCATGTGTTGTAGCTAGGTAACCTCAGTCGGAGGCTGGCTGCCGGCCCTGGGGGGTTTCATTAGATGTGAATCACGGTCCCAGTGGGCACAGCATGGGGTCTCCAGTCTGATCTGGATATTATGCATCAGCACCAGAAGAGTCCTGCTCTGAATTGGGAGTTGGGAATTTGAAATTGTTTTTTGAATGCCTTGCTTTTTGTAACTAAACTTCTCAAATACATTAGTCTTTGAAGGATTAGTCCTACATGCTTATTTGATTTCTTGTCGAGAGTTAGAAGATCGATACCATTCGTATCGGTAACTATGAGGCTGTAGCCAGTAGCCCGTTGACTTAGCTTTGCAACAGTTACAGGGGGAAACAGCTAGCCTGGCTGTGTCCAAATGACAAAAAATGCATCCACCCACCAGCACTTCTAATTTAACATTGCATCTTCATACAAAAACCCAAGTTGCCAGGCAACCAGCAAAAACTGCAAGAAGTTCCTGCTCCCCACTGAAAAATAGTTTGGCAAATGGATTAAACAAACCTGATGTAATGTGTTAATTAGTCTTCTAAAGATGGATTATGTTACCCTTTGGACAGAGCCGGGCTAGTTCTTCCCCCATCTTTCTAGTCTTCATGCTAAGCTACGCTAACTAGCTGCTGGCTCAAGCTGCATGTTTACCATACAGCAGAGAGTGGTGTCAGTTCAGGCATTTAACTGACATGTAGTGTAATTTCAAGCAGGGCTTCTCATCCTTTTTGTAATTGAAGGCCCTTTTCTCATTATTAAAAAAATCTGAGGACCACCATCCCAAATATATTAGATAACGATAAGCGTAAAATAAAGTGCCCGTTAAATATGTATGATGCCGCTTTCAGCTGTAATGACCAAAATAAATACTCTGCTTGCCCTCATCCATCACTGCCTTACATTATGAATCCAAATTTAATATATTTCCTATTTATCAAATGCTTTGCACCTTTTACTGGTGTAGGGCTGTGACGTTTGAAAAATTACCTTTGAATATTTGTTCTAAAAAAACGCATACGTGTGACACAGCACTGTGCAGCTCTGACCGTAAAGGATCATTTACAGGATCAACGGAATACAGTGTTTGCTAAATAGATTTTACTTCCTTTGTTACGTTTTGGACAACAGAGAAATAGCCCTTCTGGAGCAGTCCAGTTTCATTAGTATAAAAGCATTCTTGGCAAGGCAAAACACATTTTGCAGGGGCCTTTCTGACAGATCTTCAGTAATGTAATTATTGTATATTTTAGCCTATTAGTGATCTTTTTAAGTTTACTAAGCATAACCTCATCGTATAATATCAAATTTGATGGAAAACACAACACTGTCGTTGTTGCTGGATATTGTTTCTGTCAGTGGCGAGATGCTCCGGGTGAGAATCAATAAATTATCTTCAGTGCATTGTTTTGTCTCGTGTTATGATGTCTTCAGTGTTATGATCTTTTATTGATGTAACACAGATTAAGTCATGATCCGGAGTGCTTTCACTCTGGCGAGTGTGTTTGGCAGAGTAGAGAGGTTTTGTTTTGGACTGTTTACTGTAATAGTGAGTCTGGTGGCCACCGTGGAGTCACGAAAGTGTTGGACCTCCTGATATGGAGGTAGAAACGGCCCGGTGGCATGAGAGAGGGCCCTCTAACTAAAAGTACACAAGTGTGCTTACGGCTATACTGCAATCTGACTCTGTACTCCCTCTAAAAAAAAAATGAAGGTGTGGCTGAAAAAAATGTACATTCTTTTTGCAAAAATGTAAATATTTGCAGGTTTTCCAAGTCGTCTCTGATATAAAACTGAATATCTTTAGGTGTTGGGCTATTGCTTGGACAAAGCACATCTGAAGACGTCACCATGGGCTCTGGGAACTACTTTCTGACACTTTATAGACCAAACGTTTAATCAATTACTTAAGGAAATAATCAATAATGAAAGTAGTCGTAAGTTGCAGCCCTAATAAATAGATAGAAAAAGATGTAAGATCAATAAATCAGGATTCAATTTCTGGATTTAACAACCATTAACCTATAAGATATGTGTGGTTGTTGTCATCAACATGCAATAAATCAACATATCTACCACAATATAGATATTTTATATTTTTCTTTTTGTCAACAAATCCCACTAATGCAGTGATTCTGCTAAGTAGACCTATTGTCTGGTAGAATATCACCAGCCTTATCCTTTAAACAGCATTATAGACAACAAAGAATATTGTTTCCATACATGTAAAATGTAGGTATTATTATTTTTCTCTGATATAATCTTTATTGCACAATGTACATGAATGTGTTAGTTTAGTATAGGTACGCCTTCAGTAAGTCCTGCCATAGATCCTGTCTTCATGAAGGTTGCAGTGTTCGGAGAGCTGTCGATACCAGGATTTATTGCAGGGCTGTTGCATTAGGCGAAACAGAATCAGAGCGGTGTCTTTCAGTCTCTTCATACTGCACAAGGTGCCTCTTTAGTAACTACGTAATGAAAGGAAACGACTGTTGGCAATGTCATTTTTGTGGTGAAGCACATTGGAGTGTCGTATTGATCTCCACCTCGTGGTCCAATTACTGTATGCCGGTTTTGTAAGCTATCCTGTTGGGCCTTTTGTGTGCCTGTCAGCGTGACTGCCTTCTGACGTCACTGTGTGCATGTATACTGATCGATGAGCCCAAGGCGGTGCCGGCATTCATTTCCCAGAACACGAAGACATTGATCTGTCAAATCCCATTCAGAGAGTCCATTATGAGAGGGCTGGTAATTGCTGTTGGCAGTGAAGAATGCTATTGTATCGTTACATTATAGTAATTACACAAAATAAAGCAACCAATCTGGAGTATAGCTTTTTCTGCTTTCATATTCACAGTATGCTAATAGAGATGCTCAAACCCCATTATATACATTGAACACAGTAAACTTGAGTGGCCTCAGCTTAAAGATCCTGGCAGGGATAGCTGGAGCAACACAATATCAGTTAACATACATTGATTTGTACACAATTTGTCATCGCTGTGGTTGCCTTGCAGAGTGTTGCAGACTTCACATGCAAAAGTCATTTTTAGTGAGCATTCAGAGGCACCAGATCACACTTCCTGATCAACTGTCATCACGCTCAGCATGCGGAGGTTTTTTGCCTCCAGGGCTCGACTTAATTATAGTCCGCTTTTGCATTTAATTTACCTTGACCGCGCGTCGCCGCTGCAGGGTTTGGATTGGACTACAAATTGTAAAACGTTTGGGGGCTGAAAAGCAAAAGGGCTGATTTTGTTTACTCTTCGATGACAGGAAATTCATTTTGAATAAAAATGATCATTGTAGTTGCAGTCGTACTATATTCATCAGAACTGGAGACGGTATGCATGAAACACTCTTGATGAGGAGACCTTATCTGTATGGTATCAAACAGTATGGCATAATATCGCGATATATTTTTCGTGGCAATATTATATAGATACACGGACGCCAAGTATCGATCTTTTTTTATACTCTATTAATATTGCAAATACAAGTTAAACCTTTTGATAACAAAAGATTGAAGTAAGATGAACCGAGTGAAAACTTTGTCTTATTTGATTAAACAGATGTTGAAAAAACTGCATAATTTGCAATTGAAAAAAAGGTATTAAATCAAAATATATGTTTTCGCAATACTCAGAATATCAAAAATGTAAAAAGGTCGCAAAAAGATTGTTTCGTGATAATATTGTATTGTTGCTTCTGGTTATTCCAACCCCTCTTATATATACAAACTTGTGCATCAGGACTTGAAATCATTGTTCTGGTGAAATGAGGATAACTATCCCACAGTTCGTCACGTGCCGAGCGCACACAGAGGATGATAATCCTCAGAAAGGGGTTAACCCTGATCAAGCACAATATAATCCAGGATTTAGGATGGGCCGCCCGGAAAACATTTTCTCCCCACTGAAAAATACAAATCTGGGCTTTACGGGGATGTCGAATAAAGCTCCGAGCTTGTAGTTTTATAGTTGCGTGATCTTACAAGTTGGGCATGAAATGGAACTGTTTGGTTCTCGTCTGTGCTGCTCAGTCGCTCCACCGTGACCTCTGACGGAGCCGTATTCCTCTGTTGTTACTCCTGTTTTATGACAGGAAAATCTAAATTGGTCATTGTGTCCTTTTGTGAACTCGTGACTCAGATGTAAGTTTCCAACTCATTTTTTTGAGTCATGTTTTACAGCTTTAAATAGTATATTTGTGTTGCTCAGCCAAACGTGAGCTGTGACGTAACAGCAGCGTGGTTACAAAACACACATCACAGCATCACATTGTCTGATGTCAAAGAGATTCTTTTACGTGAATGTGTGTTTTTATTACAGTAACCACTACAGTTTCTTAGAAGCACACCAGCTGATTAAACTGGAGCTCCGACTGGCAAGAGAAATCCGTCACTTCATTACTAAACCAACTTTTATACGGCTTTAATTTTATAGATGTAAGAGTTGGTAGTATGTTGTGCGCTCCCTGTTGTCTAATGTAAAGTTAATGGTGTACCATCAAATAAACAAACGGAAAGTTTGAATGACTTTGGTCCCCTTGATGATGAAAGCAAATATGGCATTTTCGTCGATGTAGTGAAGATAATTACTTCCTGACGTTTTGGTCTCAACAACATGTGCCGAGGCTATACAGTGAGTTCAAATCCTTCAGCCTTCCTCCCCTCGGAGTGTTACCTCTTTAAGGGAACACATGTAAACTCCCCAGATCACACACTCGCACTCAGACATAAAAAGCTTTTGCAGCTGCTTTTGGTGCTTTCTGGAATTTTCAGGCCGGCCCTGTTGGCCAGAGATCTTACTTCCTAACTGGCTGTGTGTGTGTGTGTGTGTGTGTGTGTGTGTGTGTGTGTGAAACAGTGTTCATGTGTGTGTGTGTGTGGGAGGGGAGAGGGGCAGGGGGGCTTGTTTTTGGGGCTGGAGGACGGTTGCGGCTCTCTGAAGGAGTGTTCTCCCAGCGTGGGAAAGACGCTGATCTTTTCTCTGCCTCTCAGGGACCAAAGTAGGCCAAAGGAGGTCTGAGAGGAACTAACTTCTTTCCTCCGGCTCCAACTTTCACTGCCCGGGCTACGGAGGCAAAGCCGTTCCCCTCTGGAGCGGGGACAAGGGGGATTTGTAGAAGCGAACCAGTCGGGCTGGTAGGAGTTCCTGTGCTCCGAGAGGAGATGGGCAGCAGCTGAGATTTTCTCCCAGCCGGGCTGAACCGCAGAGAGTCGGGTAGAACAGCAATGTATCACTCCGGCAGTGAGGAGTCAGATCTGGTAAGTTTGAGTTAACATGCTTTCTGCTGCTCAAACAGTGTCCTTTTACACTTTTCTGAGCTTAACTGGGCTGTACCTCTCGCTCTTCTTTCCCCCTACCCTCTGAACAAAGAGGACGGGCTCGCTCTGCAGGAGAATGGAGGTTATTAGTGCAGGATTTAAAGGGGCGTAATTACACACTTCCTATTCTTCTCCCTTGTCGCTGCTTTGACTGAACATTGGTTAGAGAGTCGTGCTCACAATGCACATTGTGAGCCTCTCACGGTGTGCTGTTTTTGAGACGAAGACGCTCATTTAAACATCTTGCCTGAATTTGGGAGCACCGCTGCGTGACCGTTGCTAGCTTAAATGGGAAGCTGAGACAGTGCTAAACAAGCAGAGCGAGGGAAAGAAAGTAAACAGCAGGGGTAAGCTCGGTTCTTTATGTACAGAGAACAGTAAACGGCTCAGAACTTGGCTTTGACCTACAGAAAAAGTTTTGTCTTAGCCACATGAGCCAAACAAAGATTCTCTGTCGTTTTTGTTTTGTTTTTGTGTCTGTGTGTGTGCTTGAGGGTGTGTGTGTGTGTGTGTGTGTGTGTGTGTGTGTGTGTGTGAATGATATGGTGGTGAAATATTTTCCTGTTTTAGTCTGAAAACAGCAGTCAACTCAGAAAAACCCTGTTGTGAACGAGAATTGTTCAAACATGCAGAAGATAACTATAATTTCTAGTCAAGATACCAGATCTAGCAGGCCGATTGCAAGCAAACTGTGTCCTGGTTTTGAATATTTGATAGTGTAAACATTGTAAGGCTTTAGTGAAGAGTTGAAACAAGGCGATACTTTATAGTATATTTTGCAGGAGACTGTCCGAATGTGTGGAATAAGAAAAGGGAAACAAAACAGGTTAACCTAAAACCAGTCAGGAATAACGTCTACTTAGGGCCGCTCGATTACGGCAGAAATACAAATCAAGATTATTGAACACGATTACTCAACATCACGCATTTAGAAAGAACATTTTGTAGCCTACATTTTAAAGTTAAATGCATCGGTCACACCGCTGTTAAGGAAAGGTGGCGTTCTAACATACGACAAAACGAGAACAGAATGCAGTGCCGGCACAAACATTATGTTAATTATCTTGTTTTCATAATCGTTGAAAGCTAAAGTTGTAATTGAAATTGATAATAGATTTCTTGCACAGCCCTACATCTACTATGTGCCTGACTCGAACCAGATCAATTAAGGCCATTAATTCATATATTGTTTAGTGCCACAGTATGCATATGTACGTCCACGTTTTGAGAGTTTCTACGCAGCAGATACTGTTGTGTATCTCTCTCTCTCTCTCTTGTTTATTTCTAGTAAAAGAGAAACTATCAATCTATAGCCGGCTGTTGTTCATGTAGGTCTGGGAAAACCAATTACTCACACCGACACACGGAAGCTCCTGTTGGATGTAATGAGGGACCCGTTCAGGAGTTTTATGTTTCACAGTGACAGCTGGGAGTAAAGTATAACACTGTGTTTATTTGAATAATACATTTGACGAGAGTATTTAACATTTATAAAATCTAACATTGATTCAAGGTTGTTAGGATCGATAAGACCTTTTTTTTTCTTTTAGTTCAACATAAGTAGAAACACAATTGTCGTGATCCAAACTCAAAGATCGGTATCGGAGCCGATCAATGCATTTTTTAACTGATAGTTGTCTGCAATATTGAGCTCGATATGTTCCTTCATTTTGCATTAGTTGTCACACAAGCTTTCATACACAGCAACGCAACTTCTCTCCTCCACTCTGCTGAGCTCAGTGTGTGTGTGTGAGCAGCACAAAGTTATTTACCTAGTATATGTGCACTTCCATTTCAGCTGACTGTGAGAGTTGCGTTTTTTTTGCTGTCATCTATGGTGCACGATGTTGCGCAACAAAAAGCACCGCGAGCAACAATGCCAATAAGAGTAATTTATTATTCTCATCGGTGCAGAATATACGTATACAGATGATAAAATATACACTCAACGTAATACAGCTTATTCAGGTAACTCGGGCAATGGCAGCACCAACCGATTACAGTTTCTCATGTGACTATTTGAGGCTTTTATTTGTCATATATGATAATAAACATTTTATATTTTAGGGTTTTGGGCCTTTCGGATATTGTAAAGAAAGATTTGGAGTTTTATGTAGGGAAAGAAGCTCTACTATTACGGTTAACGTAGAAAAAAAAAGTTTAAATTGACCTTTGGTGGGCTTTATTTAGAGAGTTTTTGGTTTCATGCATCACTGAAATCTGGGAAATCTCCATGCCAACAAAACCAATATTGCATATAAATCACAACTTTTGCAGGAATTGGTCCAGAGTATGCAATTTATCTCTGTATGAAATAAAATAAATGAACCTGAAATCATTTTACTCGAGCACAGTCCCATTTGTTGGACGGTATGTTCTACTCCACTGAAGGTGGTTAGCAGCTCGTTCCGCTCTCTTAGCCGGTTCTCATCAATCATCCGGCGCCTGCCTCGTTCACCAGGAAACTGCCGGGATATTGATGACGCAAGCACAAAATAGCAGCACAGCGCAGCCCCTGGCCTCTCTCACTGTATTCCCCTTCATCAGCCGCCATCCTATTATGGTGCTGTGTTTCCACGGAAGGGACGGAACTGCGAGATAAACTGGATCTCGCAGTGAAGGGATTCACTGTAAATGACAGCAGTGCCCCTCTAGAGGCTGCTGACTGCAGGTGATACTCACAGGTGGAAAAGGATTGGCACATACTTTGCAGTGGTAGGGATCCCGTCACCCTGCAGTTGTCTTGCCATAATGTTGGATTTGAACTGCTCTGTGTGAGGTGCAACACCAAACTGTGCCTTTTAGTCAGAAGAGCACCGAAAAAGGTTTAATCTGTACATTGTTTTTAGGACTGGTTTACCAGGATCAATACTTTTAGACTAGTCATCTATATTTCATGCAGTTGATCCATGTTTAGGCTATTGATGGCAGTACTTTAGTCCAGACTGAAATATGTCAACAAATATCAGCTGGATTCCTGATCCTCAGAGGATGAATCCTGCTGACTTTGGTGATCACCTGACTTTTCCTCTAGTGCCACCAGCAGGTTGATATTATTGGTTGTTCGTGAAAAACTGATTTTGGTAGATATTCATGGTGCCCAGAGGATGAATCATCATGATCTTCTTCTAGCACAACCACCACCAAGGTTAAAATATTTAATTTATCTAATACTTTAGTTTATGACTAAAGACGTGCACAAGTAAGGGCATTCCCATCATCGTCAGCGGTACTTTTCTTAGTTTGTTTTAGTGCAAATGTAAACATTAAACCTGCTGAACATGAGCATGTCAGCATGGTCATTGTGAGCATGTTGGCATAATACTAATAATGAAAGTACATGTTTATTTCTTCCTTCATTTTGATAAGTCTATTTAAGAATTACTGTAATTGCTTTAAGTTTTACAATAATAATAGAGGTGCGTGCACAGAAAGCTTACCATGTGATTGGTTTCTAAGTTTCCAGCTAGCAACGGTGCGCTCTTAGATCATGTGATTGACAGCCAGTGAGTCCATCCCTCCGATGGGATGATGCACTTATCTAATGCACTGGCACATGGGATGCTGGGTAAACACTTTTTTCATAGGCCTGTCAGTGTCACCTTGACGTCCAATCCTTCTTTTGCTACGCCAGAGGGATCGTTACTCCTCTCTCCTCTTCTATCTCTCTCCACATCTCTCTCTCGCTCTCACAGGCAGTTATTTCTTTCACAGATGTACCGACAATCTGTTTCCCTTTCAGTCTCTTGCTCACTTAGTTTTGAATTCCTCTGTGTTGAATATTAGTAACCAGTCCTTGTAGCAGTCACACATCTTTCACTCTTGGCTGTCAAGTCTCCTCTCGTTGTCTCTGTGTGACGAAGGAGACAACATTTGTGGACCGACGATTTAATTGACTTTATGTTGCACTGAGGGAAGTGGCAGTGATGGACAGATGGTCGGGAAAGGAGGCTTTGTTTCCAGCCAAGAATGAGTCATGCCGAGCAAGAAACTGCGAGCGCACTCGCTCGGCTCATTGTCGGCCCTCTGCGGTCGGCTACGGTCCGTCAGCCAGAACTGAACATGACTTGGCACGAGCAGCAATCTTCATTCTTCAATCATGATGCATATTGTGAGCTTTACTGTGCAATCTGACCACGCTGGCCCATTAGTTTCACTGCTGACGCCCCTCTGAATTTTGGCTGTTTGGATCATTTTAAACCTAGGAATATTTTTACTTTTACTCCATTACAGAATTATGGCATGGCACCATTTAGATGTATATGGCATGTACGTATACTAAGGCATAGCATTGCTTTAAGCTTAATGCTAACATGCTCACAATGACAATGGCATGAGCAGTTATGGCGTTTACTGGCACCATCTTAGTTTAGCAGGTTAATATTTGCTAACTTGAGTTTGAGTCCTTATCAGCAGATTAATTAATACTTCCATCACTGGAAAAAGGTGACTGGATGGAGACGTCTAACCCGATCCAATCTCAAAGATCAGTATTAGGGCCGATCGAGGCATTTTTTTAAACTGATCTCTATCGGCTATATTGACCTATTGAGCCTGATCCCATCCTTCGTTTTACGTCAGCCGTCACACAGGTGTTTTCACAGCAACGACTGCAGCCACCATCAATTCTTTGCTGTCTGCCTCTCGTCTACTCCATTGAGCTTGTGTGTGTGTGTGTGTGTGTGTGTCTGTGTGTGTGTGTGTGTGTGTGTGTAAAAAAAAAACAGGGCTGAGCACCGCGTGAGAAAAAAGCACCATGCAACCATAAACGACATTAAACACAGTCTGAGAGTCTGTTTGATTGTCATTTACCTAATTTATGTGCACTTCCAATTCAGCTCATTATGAAAGTCTCTTGCGTTTTGCTGTCATCTACGGTGCATGGTGTTCCACAGCGGTGGAGAGCGGACGACAACCACACACTCACACACCATGCTACT